GTGACAAACAATTTAAATCAAAAGCTAGGTGAGAGAGAAAGTGGAAACATCTGGGTGGAGACACCGAATGGGGACAGGTGAGGGTGGCAGGCTGAAAGGGAAAAAGCACTGGGGAGGTTTACTGAAGGTAAATAGAATCTGGCACAAGAAAACAGAACCTAAACACAAAGATTTCAAACTATAACACAGGGAATGAAAATAAAATTTAAATAACTAACAGAAAAACATGGATTACAGCAGTTTACTGTATTGCTACCCATATATTTTTTTTCCAGCACCTAAAAATTAACTATTCAACATATCAGATGACAAATCAAGAGTGGCTGCAGGAGCATTTTCCATGACTTTACATAACCACGAATTAAACACTTCCAAAACAAGTTTGAACATATTTCAACATCGAGATCATCCTCATCATTATATCTCCATCCTCAGTATGGGGCAGCTGTGGCTGAGTGGTTAGAGCAGTCATCCTCAATTGCAAGAGTTGGGGGTTCGATTCCACTAGCATTCACATGCTGAAGTGTCCCTGGGCAAGACACACACATTGCCTCCGATGTGTGTTCCATTGGTGTATGAATGTGATAAAAGCACTGATTATTTTTTGTATAGATACAGTAGAGTGATGTATGAATGGGTAAATGAGGGCACAGATTGTAGTGTAAAGTCCTTTGAGTATCTTGATAAGATAAGATAGAACTTTATTGATCCTGCAGGAAATAGAAAGGTGCTACATAAGTACAGTTTACCATTATTACTGACTCAAGTTTGCTGAGCTCATTCAGTCACATTAATATGTGTTCATTACAAATGACAAAAAAGGAGGAATTTTAACGAATGTTCTCTTTAGTAATTTGTGTCTTGTGAAAAGCGCAACAAATTTGTTTATTTGATGCAAATTAGTTACATAAGAATACAGTTTGCACTTTGTCAGATGCCTTCATAAACGAGGACACAAGAGGGCAAAGAAAAAGACAAATGAGCCTAGCTATTTGTCACACAGAAACCCATTTACTAACAGTAATGTTTGCTTCACCTGTGGTGTCTTACTGATCACAGATTCTGTCTTTTTCATCCTGAGAACATTTCATCTTCTGTGTCCGAGTCTCAGCATTCATTTGTTGAAACTTAAACTTCGTTATGTCCTGCAGGTCAGCATGATTGACTTCCAAAATCAAACATTTTCATTCCCTATTTTCTGCATTTCTAATCTTTTCTGCTCGTTCCTGTCAGCGTTGCTTTGAGAGTTGTGCAGAGCAGCTCTTCGAGCGGGAGAAGCAGAGAAGCGAAAGCAGATAACAGCTTTGCCGTCAGCTAAAGACCCACTGTTTGAAGCAGCATTCCAGCTATTTGAGTCTGGCTTTTTGTGTATGGGCCTGCCCGGACGAATTGTCAGCTTGTGATTGTAATGCATTATCTAGAGAGGGGAGTCAACGTGAGGATTACAAATACCACCATTATCACAGCCGGTCCAGAAGACAGAGTCAAGACACAAGGACGGGAAAACACAAAAAGAAAAGAAAACCAGTCAAGTTGACAGTTTTCAGGTGTTCACTGCTAATCTTTACCTTAGTAGATTACATTGCACATACACTGTTGTTATGGAAACCTTTTTGGCACCAGTAATCAAAGTTATTTTTGAAGCATTTTGGTTCAGCCAAAGCAGCAGCAAACAAAGCCTTGAGAAACTGTAGCTTCCAAATTGCCAATCAGCTTGATTAGACTTGACATTGTGTCTTCCCGGCAGAGCCTTTGTCATTGTTTTATGTATTTCATCAGCTTCTTTTTTTTTTTCCAACTAGGTAAGCTTTTGTCTCTCTGCAGATATGCTGTCTGTCTGCTTCCATTTCTCATCGGCCCACCTTTAATCTCCCCTGACTCCGCCACCGCCTCTTAATTCAGTCTCATAAAACTATGTTTGATCTGCGCCTCGAGCAGCTCAGAGAATTAGAAAGAGGGGAAATTGATAAGAAAGGAGACAGATAGGACTACAAACAACCACAAGCACTTCAGGACTGTGTATGAAATGGAGCATGAGAACAAATATCTCATTTCAGAGTAATGTGATGAGGGTTTCTTATTTTATTTTACATTGTTTACCGCCCTCATTTTTATTGGCTTGTTGGCCACATCATAAAGTGTAACTCAATATCCACGACCCTCAGCTCAGCCCTTATCTTCCTCTTTCAGAAGAGCGAATGCTTATAGCGTTGAGTCTGGGCACATAAATGGGATTATCTTCTGAAACCTACACATACAAGCAGCAGAGATATCAGACATAAAAAGCCTTTTGGCCAATCGAACACACACAGAAGCCTCCTGAAATGCAGTTGGAAGAAATATGCACTGTCACACCAAGGACATTGTTAATTTAATAATGAAATGAAGCCAGCTATAGCAAGAAAGCTGGTAAATATGAACCTGTGCAGACAGGATGAAAACAATGGAAAGAGAATGCTATGAGGTTATCAACAAATTATCCTCAAGAGTCAAATGTTTCCAGTCAGGCGGTGCAGGGACCAGGCTCTAATTCACCATCTTTTTGGTAATTGGGACTTATTTGCTTGTCTGCTGCAACAATCACATGACATTTGCTGTGCTGTTTATTTATTTGTTTTAATGTGGGACACAGTGTTCCACTTTTCATCTTTTTTGATTATGAAGTTGTTGTTGTGACTTTACTCTGCAATCATTGTGCATAAATTGTACAGACATTTTCAAAACTCACGAGATATCAAAACATAACATTTCTTAAAGAAATGCATAGTGTCAGTTACCCATGACCATTTTGACAAAGATAATCTTGTGTTAACAAATAATGGAGTGGCAATTTTGGTTAACCTTTGAAGATATTAACTATTTCACAAGATATTATCAGATTACATGCAATTATGTGCTGTGAATGACTCTCAACTACTATCACAGAATGTTTTATCTTACTATCTTTAAAAGTAATTGAATTTAAACTATTTTTTTTGTGTGTGTTTGCCAAGCTCAATTAGTTGCGGGGATCATTTTGAATTGGGTTGACTCCAAAAGTTAAGTTGTCGATGTTCATCCGATGGTTACATCTTGCAAGTGTCAATACAATCCTCCAAGTGGTTCATGAAATATTTTGCTAACAGACAGAAAGACACAGAGAAAAACATAATTGCTTGCTGCCAAAAGGTGAGAGGCAAGCAGTAAAAACAAAGAATATGAGAGTTTCGAGTCAGACAGCACTTACAAATGCCACAAAACATAACCTAATGCAGGCCATTGTTGAAATAATTTGGATAGTTTTACTCTCCCTCAAGTTTAGCTACAGTAGGTACAAACATAATGTCATGCTGCTGTATTCATTCATACCATCTGCTCACCACAGACTCATGTTCGAGCTGCTGTTGTTAGCGCATCTCTTAGTGTATATCTTAGATCCTTATTTACAGTTCCTTTTATACTTTATATTTTTGCTATTTTTAGGTGTAACTGGGTGCACATAATTTCGTTCCACCTCATGTACCACATGTGAAGGAAATGACAATATAGATACATGAACTTGAAAACAACCTCATAGAAAACAGAAGGAGGAGTAAGGAGGAAATTAGCAGTTCTCTCTTGTAAATGTGTCCTTGTGGCTCAATGAGTCTAACATGTATAAATAAAGGTTGAATGAAGTACTGCATACCTGACTCTGGACTCAATCTCAGATCACTCATGTTCCAGTAATGTTTCCCAGTAGGAGGTTTCACTTACCATCATATGCCAGTGTTCAACAGGACTGATTATGCTGTGAATGGCCAAATTATCACTATAAATTCAAATTCAGCTTAACTTTTTCGTTTTTATTTTTTGTCTGAATGAGCTTGTGATCCACGTCTAGCCCACAAGCCACAAGTTGTCGATCACCACATTTACGATTAAACAAAGTGGCCAAGAAAAGGTAAATGTTAACAGATGAGCGAGCCCAGTTAATTGTTTGCATCCCACATTTTCAATTTTCAGACAGGTCCAAAGCAAAGTCCCACCTACATAAAGTGGTGGATCGATAATCTGCAGTTTGTGAACAGTGCTGAACAAGCGGCTCTTTGGGAGGATTTACACACAGTGGCAGTTTGCGCACAGCAAACACTGTATGCAGATGTTTTCATTCCGTCCCGTTTTTGCTCTGTAACCAATCGAGCCGCTAATGGTCATCGTAAATTAGAAGAAATAAACTTCAGAGGATGCGAGGAGGCGGTCGTTCCGTGTGATTGTAGTAGAAACCCAGAGGCTAAATGCCAGCTTGTGAAAGTGACAGTGGCGTCAGAGGGTCCCGGGGGGAAGAAGGCACAGAGAGATCCAAAGATATATAGACACAAGGCCCACAAAGAGCACTTGAGAGGGATTGTCTGCAGAGAGGATAACTCAGAGATAAGAGATTCGTTCAGTAATGAGGAAAAGAGAGGTCTGGCAAAAGGAGGGGAAAAGAAAGAGCATAACAATGAAGAAAGAGCTTGCTGGCAAAAGTTGGATGAACTTTTGCTTCACACACACTTTTTCTAGCCTTTACAGTCCATGGTCAGTACTTAAAAAAAGCCTTACTTGCAAGGGGGAAAATAATCTCTGGGTTCTTAATGTCTTAAAGACTTTTCCCTTCCTCAGGCTTGACTGCTGCAGGATTGTTGAAACGGCTAATAATTTTTGACACAACTAAAAATTAATATAGGTTTTAAAATCTTAACAGTTTTAGGAAGATTTGTGTTGTTTTATTTTACTGACAGTGACTGGATATAACTGATCTCACTCTCACGTGTACAGCGCAAAACAACAAGCAGACTCCAGTTTTAATTCAAACAAATTGTATTTTTTTTTACCCTTAATTTGACAATTGTGGGTAAAAGAAAGAAGAGAAACACGTTTAGTATGGCTGCATAGGAATAAGAGCCTCTGTTGTATAAGTTTGACCTGTTGAGCTACAGTAAATGGAATCATGTGCATGATTTGTTAGTTCACAAGTATAATTTTTGTTTGTTTTTCAGAGCGAGTGGCTGAACCAGGCCGATATGGAGACCCTGGAAATAAAGCTCACTCTGTCTCTGCAAAGAAGACAGGACTGAATGGTGAGTTTGATAAGGGTTACTGTGCCAAATTAAAACTGTGTCTTTTCCAATAACTCACTAACTCTGGTAAAGCTCAGATGTCCCAGCTTTTAACCAGCCTTGAATGCAGCATTACATTTGCGAATCAAGAGCAGTAAAAACGTCTCAGAAGTTACATCCAAGTGTGACGTCACGTGCGCCGCACAATGGTAGCACTGACGGGAGCTCTGCTTCGACTCGTCCTTTTTTTATTCTTGTTGTTTTTATTTTAACTTTTTTTGCGCCTACAATACGCACCCACGGTACGGGTATGACCGCAACACACTTGTGGAATTTTGTGTGTCACTGCCTTGCCATCATGCCATCCTGCCATCATGGTTCAGTTCCCAGCCCCCTTCCAGCCTCAGGCCTAGGCTCTGGCCTGTCATGGCGGCTGTCTCCATGATCCTCCATCTGCCTGCACGAACAAAACTCTACGAACCTGTTTGGCTCCATGAGGAAAACCTTGAATGTTCTCTGTCTGCTGAACCCGGTTATTGAGGGCAGTCTGGGAGGGCAGCTACTGCGGTCGTTATTATCATCAAGCTGCTAGCAGGGTCTGCTAATGCTGCTAATGCTGCTAGCGCTAGCCTCCATCTGCCTGTATGGACCAAACTCTATGGACCTGTTCAGTTCCACGGGGAAACCTTAGATGTCCTCTGTCTGCTAAACCCAGTTCTGGACTGTGGTCTGTGGGGGCAGCTGCTGATGTTATTACCATCAAGCTGCAGACCGGACATGCTAACAAGACCTGCTAAGCTGCTAACAAGACCACGCCGCTAACGGAACAGATCCATGACGTTGAAAGAACCTCACTGTTAACCGAACCACACTGTAGATGTATTTCTTTTTCACCTTTAGCGCCTTGTTTTTTAGTATTTTAGTTGTGTTTTTTAAATGTTTTTCTTAGTATATTAGTAGTATATTTTTTTAGTATGTTTTTAGTATTTTTGCTACATAATTTGATATTTCTTGTTGTTGGTGGGGTTTTGTTTTTTTGGGCGAGTCGAGACGGTTCTTCTCGTCCTCAGCGTTTCATTACATTGCTGACCTTGTGTTGATTTTGCACATGACAAATGCATCTAACCTAACCAAGGCAAGCTGATCTGTGCGCTCTTGTGCACGTATTTCACAATTTGTATACACAGAGTATTCCAATTTGTGCAACTTGAAATGTTTAAATTTTAAAAACAGTTTATGCATTTGTGAATCTTGTGGTATGCTTGTGTATCTTATTTTTTTGTACACAAATCTTGTTGTGCGCTTGTGTGACTACTTTTGAGACTAGTTTATCTTCATGTTTTTCCTTGTAACGTTGTAGAACCTGGAGTACTTCCAAATGTGGGCTTTCAACGCAGTTGCTGCACTTGGGCACTTTAAAATTCTTCAAAATCGTATTTCTCAACAGGAAATGATTGCAATACTTCATATTCACTTATTGTCATCTATGAGAAGATTCAGAGCTGTTCACATTTTCATCAAAATACAACATAAATCATTTATAACCCCTGCCACTAAAACTAAAGCTACTAGTTATTTTATATACTGCTTATTTTATATTAGTAATAAAATAAGGGGTAGGCGAGGGACTTGGCCTTATTTAGACATGGTTGAGGTCATGTTTATTTATCTGTTCTGGCTGCAGAAGCAGAGTTATTATCTGTGTTTCGATGTTTAGGAAAGAAGAAATTCTCCTCCTTTTTTTTTATTAAAGTTTAATTAGTCCATTAATACTTTATCAGGCAACCAGGTGGGAGGGAATTATGCATAGAGGAAGTCACAAAGGCTGAATTGCTAAAATGCTAACTCGGAGTCTGCACAAGACTGGGGCTCTTAAGTGTTTATATTGGAGCCATCCACACTAACTGAGTTGCTGTGATCATTCTCGTGCTGATAACATAATTTAATGAAAGCTGGGTTAGTAAGTTATGCCCCTTTTCCACTGTTACGGTGCGGATCAGGTCAGTTCGGGTCAGCTCAGATTGGCCCGTGTGTCGCTGTGTTTCCATTTACGCTTCTGGACCGGCTCTGTAGGCGGGGACTAGAATCCAACTCGTCTTACCTCCTGGTGGCGGTAGTGCTCCCTTAAGCTATTTACTAGCCACCACTAAACGTATTGGAAGAACACCCTGAAGACTTTGTCACACGATGTTGTGGAAGAGATGTCATGCTCTAATGGAGTACCTCATGAACTGTAACTTAAACCTGATTCATAATCCTACCTTATTGCCTTCCCTGCCTGCTTTAAACCCATGTGTTTTCCATTTTAGTATAGATTTTTACAATAAAGATGTATTAAAAATATCTTCACTTTTATTATTTGCAGATATGCACAAGGTTCATGTTAAAATTGCAAAGCATCACACTGTGCTGTAATCTTTGAAACTGCTTTTATAATAAGATACAGACTTGAAAACAATTAGATTAAATTTTGTCCTTAAATTTTAAAGGTTTGTCTTTCATTCAATTTAAAAACATAAATGTATTACTTATTAATCTAAAAAAGTTAAGTCTAAAAATAAAATAAAATAGAGTTGGAAACAGGACCGGAGGACATTTAGCGTTTATGCAATTTAGCTTAGCATCGTAGCACCGATGTTGTCCTATTATGGCGTCAGCCTCTTTTTTTAGTAAAAAATATGTTCAGAACCGATGAGATGAGTAACTTTAAATACGTTTAAAGTTAGAAAACACTCACCATCTTCTATAAATAATTCAAGTAAAGCAGTGGCCGTGTCCAAACCACCCTCCAATCGCTCCATCTAGCGCGCTTTGACTCTTTTCATCAGCTACCAAGCACAACAACACCTGCACTTCTGCATTTGACCACGGCTTCGACATTATTGTTTTATTTTTATATCTTCAAAATACGTACAAGATACGCTCCTCGAGTTATCGCTAATGGCAGGCGGTAGAGAAAAATGGCGGATCGGGTTGTTTGAAGACTCCACAGACTCCTCCCCCCTAACCAATCAGTGACCGACAGTGTTTCTGACGTCACGGCTCGGCTCGCTTGGACCCCTTGAGAAGCCGGGCCATAATTCTGGGAGGTGAGCTGGTTCTAAGTACTATGGAAAAGACCTCAAACACGGGTCAAGCCGGAAATATTCAACCCGCGCAGTGACAGTGGAAAAGGGGCATTAGAGTAAATGTTTGGAGACCAAGTGCATGGTACCATTATACATCTGAAGCATCCAGGTTTTGTATATTTACACAGATTCAGGGTTAGTTTAGTTCATTGTAGCGCCTGACTGAATCTTATTTTCACATGTATATTGCACATCAAGCAGTGAGTCTCATCAGGTGGTGACAGGCACAATTTCACAGTTAGCTTTATAATTTTCGTTTTAATTGTGTGCAGCAGTGCCTGTTGAAATAAGGCAAAAACAAGTTTCCAGTTTATTGTCTGAAACTGATTGTAGATTATAGCGAAGATGTTCAGAGTGAGTGAACAACGGTGCCTCCTTTGCTTTAAATGATGTTTTAAGATTTTTTTCAGTTAGTTCTGGTTTTGTTCTGTTTGGAAAAGAGTTGGAATTTAGTTTGAGATTTATCAAACACGGTGTTCTTTGCTGAAATAACATTTACCTTCTCAGAGTGCAGTTTCGGTTCAAAAGCTTGTATGTGCAGACGAGTGAAGCTAATCACGTTAATGTGGCAGTAGGGAGAAACAATATTCATAGATGAGAATCACAAACACAACATCAAAAACGTTCACTTTTAAAAATAAAGACAGATTTAAATCTGTTTTATATTAAGGAATAAATGGTAAATGGACTGTATTTACGTTATAGCACCTTTCTATCTTATCAAGATACTCAAAGTGCTTTACACTACAATTTGTGTCCTCATTTACCCATTCATACAGCACTCTACTACATCTTTACAAAGAATAATCAGAGCTTTATCACATTAATACAATGATGGGACACACATCGGAGGCAATGAGGGGTTCAGTGTCTTGCCCAGGGACACTTCAGCCTGTGGCTGCTGGTGGAATCGAACCTCAAACTCTCCCCTTGGAGGACGACTGCTCTAACCACTCAGCCACAGCTGCCCCCATATAAACTCAAAGTTTGTTTTTTTTGGTCAGCTTTTATTTGTGGCTGGAAATTTTAGTACTACAAGGTGTCACATAGCTAAACAAGCAGATATTTTTGAACATTTAATTTTTCTACCGCACATTTGTATTTTACTGTTACCACTAGTTATATTTGCCTGGAACATAAAAAAAAACATGAATGAATGAAGGAAAGGGAAGACTGAGATTGTCATCATTGTATGTTCCCATATAAGTTCTCTGCATTTAACCCATCACATGTGAGATACATCCAGGTGGTGCAGTGGGCAGCTATGTAAGTGTCCAGGGAGCAATTAAGAATTGGGTGTCTTTCTCAGAGACACCACGACATGTGGGAACAGCTGGGAGTCGAACTGCGACTTTCTGGTCCCATGTCGTCTGCCCTGTCTCTACTCCAGCTCAGCCCCCATGAATCAATTAATAAATTAATTTATTAATTAATTGTCATCAGAAATGTACTCAATAATCTTCAAAATCAGGAGTTAAAACCTAAAAATAACTACAAAATGTTTGTGCAAAAATATTGGAATTCTTTTGTCCTACTCTATAAAAAAATGTTTCATTGTCCGTTCGATTCAGGGATTGTTTTTTTAATCATTTTCATCTTGTTAAACAAAATGTATATTTTACAGGATTTTTAACTATTTTAGTATTTATCGTTAGTGGACAAATGAGGACATTTTCAAATTTGTAATTAATTGTAATTTATTATGAGTCAAATCTAAGGAGGTGCTGTGGTATGATAATCCAAAATCAGCAATGTATGCAGTGCAGTAGTCACTCGCTACTTCGCGGTTCGTTTTTTGCGGACTCGCTCTATCGCTGTTTTTCAAAGTAAGATTGAACATGACACACAATTGGCTGATTGATGCATGAGCCGCACGATCTGCATGGAAGATTT